TTCAGCTTAAGAAGAATCCATTCACTCCAATGGCCATTCATTCCAATGGATTGGAGTTTATTCCGCCAATGGATGGCCTCAACATGTATTTGGCAAATAGTGGCACCCCTTCGATGATGGCTTCGGAGGCTTCTCATCTCAAGAGAGACAGCTCTGGCTTTCATTCGCCGTCAGATAATAGCGAGAGAAAGAGCGATGCAGTCATTACGTGTCAGAGTATGTATCCTATGCTTGATATCCTATGCTTGATATCCTATGCTTGATATCCTATGCTTCATATCACATTTTATTTGACTATATTTGCCACTAATTTTAGGTAAGCTTTTGGGCGCAAAAATCATACGACAGGTGAAGAAAGACGCCGACGGCAAGCCTCACGTCAAGCGACCGATGAATGCATTCATGGTTTGGGCCAAAGACGAGAGGAGGAAAATACTGAAAGCGTGTCCTGATATGCATAATTCAAACATTTCCAAAATATTAGGTATTTTGTGTCATCACATCTTACTCACTGTGCTGTGAATTAATGTATTCATTTGCTGCACATTAGGCGCGCGTTGGAAGTCTATGTCCAACTCAGAGAAACAGCCCTATTATGAGGAGCAGTCACGTCTGTCCAAAAGCCATATGGAACAACACCCCGACTACCGATACAGACCCCGACCAAAGCGCACCTGTATTGTTGACGGCAAGAAATTACGAATTTCTGAATACAAACAACTCATGAAATCGAGACGACAGGAGATGAGGAATCTGTGGTGAGTTTTGTTTATTCATTTACTACAGTATTGCAATTTTTTCATTTTAATAAACTTAATAGTTTTGGAAACAGTAACTAGATTTAGTTAACTTTTTCTCATTGTTTATTTCATGTGGCTGTCATGAGTGCCCACAACCCCATGTAAAGCCTATGGGAAAATTTTCTATTTATATTATTATTTATTATGTTATTAAACAACAAGCACTAATATTTTGATTTCAAGACAAATTTGAGAGCCATTAATCAGAAAGAAAAGTTTTTAAGCGAATAATTAATTTAAAGGTTTCGAGAGAGAGAGAGAGAGAGAGAGAGAGAGAGATTCCATATTGTGCACAAACTAGAAAAGCAGATTTGTATCGATTAACTTCAATCGATCTTGTTTATAAAATTTATTAAAACACATACCCGAAATATGAGCAAGCATTAAATAAAATATATTGAAAATAAAATGTAAATATTTAAATAGATGAATTTTCGATATGTTTGATTATGTGCTAATTTGTATTTTGGGAATTTTTATTAATAAATTTTAAAATTAAAATTAAGGTTTTTTAAGAAAAT